CGATCTGCCTGTTCTGTTCCCCACTCTGTCTCTGGTGAAGCCTCTCGCCGTCCCTGAGCCTCTGGCCTGTACCTCAGTTCTGTATGAATAAATAAATCTTTAAAAAAAAAAACACACATGATAAACAAGTCTTGGGATAAAAGAAGAATACCATGTAAAACTAGAAAATTTTTGAAAATTATGATAGCCAAAATATGATGCAAACATATTCAATTGCTTTCATCAAAGGCCATTTTAGAACATTTAATCATACAATATAAAAAGCTGGACAAAGAAAAGCTAATCCAAACATAGAAGAAAGAAGAAATTAACAATGATTAGACCAGAAACTAATAAGTTGGAAATTAGAAAAATAGTAAAGCAAATTAGTTCTCTATGAAAACATATAAAAGACACAAATTAACAGCCTGTGTGGGAGGAAAGGGTGAAGGAATGAAGAAAACAAACACTATTCTGAGGCAAAATAATCTTTCAAAGTGAAATTTTCAAGTTCATAAAGTCTATTTTATGTGCCTCTTAAAATACAGTTTAAGATTTGAATTAAATGGATAATTTCCTGAAACACGAAACTTAGGTCTAGTAAAGCTAGGTCTAGAAAGACCATTACCAGAGAATGAACAACTGAAGGACCAGATAATTTCAGAGACAAACATTTTACAACTTTTAAAAGATCAGATCATACAATGTTAATAAACTACTCCAGAAAAATATTTGGCAGTCTGGCCCTCCCTGGTGGCGCAGCGGGTTAAAGCACAGCCCTGAGAATCTAAAGCCGTTTCCACATGAGTTCGATTCCCGCCTGCCCCGGAGGTGACCACATGGCGCAGCAGACCTCTCCTGACCCGCCCGCTGCTCCCCTCAGCAGTGTACTTCGGTCGATCTGCCTGTTCTGTTCCCCACTCTGTCTTTGGTGAAGCCTCTCACCATCCCTGAGCCTCTGGCCTGTACCCCAGTTCTGTATGTACAAATAAATCAATCTTAAAAAAAAAAAAGGCAGTACTTCTGTTTGTTTTATGAAGGAATATGTTATTGATTTTTCCAAAACCAATAAAGACACCATCAAATCAAAACTGCAAGTTCTCCTTTCTTAGTAAAAGGAAGTGTTTGAGAATATGATAGCACTTTTTTTTTTTAAGATTTATTTATTTATTCATACAGAACTAGGGTACAGGCCAGAGATGCGGAGGGTGAGAGGATTCACCAGAGACAGAGTGGGGAGCAGAACAGGCAGATCGACGAAGTACACTGCTGAGGGGAGCAGCGGGCGGGTCAGGAGAGGTCTGCCGCACCAAGTGGTCACCTGCGGGGCAGGCGGGAATCGAACTCATGCGGAAGTGGCTTTAGCTTCTCAGTGCTGTGCTTTAACCCGCTGCGCCGCCAGGGAGGGCCCTGAGAGCACTTTTAAAAAAGTAAAATATGCTTCCTTTCTTTGTTAACTTGAAGAAGCAAACCATATAAAATGACAAGAATAAAACCCTGCATAGAGTAAACTTGCAACAATTTTAGCCATGACTGTGAGTTGCCACCAATACGACAACTGAGAAAATCAAAGGAGGTAGAAAGTGATCTTGAGGAACCCCTGCACTTGGTAGGAACAGACTGGGAGGACCCAACATTTCAAATTTTATGACTTACTGCAAAGTTACAATAACTAAGATTTGTAGGGTTGGTGCAGAGACATAAGGAAGAAAGGATATTGAGAGTCCAAAATTAAATCTTTGCATTTGCAGTTAACTGACTTTCAAGCAGAGCGCCAAGACAATTCAGAGTAAAGAACGTTTTTTTTCAACAAATGATGGTTGGACAACTTGACCTCCACAAGGCAGAAGAGGAATTTAGATCCCTAGAGCCATTCCGCATAAAAACTAACACAGTGTAGATCAAATATATACATTGAAGAGCTCAAATTAGAAAATTCTTAACAGAAAGTATAGGTGTAAATCTTATGACTTTGGGTTAGACAATAGTTTCTGAAATAGGATAGCTAAAACATAAGCAAGCAAAAACAAACAAACAAACAAAAAAAAACGAAGAAGAAAGAAAGAAACTGGAACTTTGTCAAAATGTTTGAAACTTTAAAGAAACTTTAAAGCTTTGAAGTATACTACCATGAAAAAAAATTCAGACTGCATACAAACATTGGCAGATTATATCTGATGAGAGCTTACTATCCCAAACTCTGCAACTCAACAATTAAAGAGCAGGTCAACCAATTTAAAATGGATAAATAATTTGAGTTAGCATTTGTCCAAATACACAAATGGCCATGCAAATGGTGTTTAGCATCATTAATCATTAGGAAAATACAAATCAAAACCACGAGACTCATCAGGGGGGCTACATTAATAAAAATGGACAATATCAAGTGTTAGCGAGACTGTGGAAAAGTGTCAACCTTTGTGCATTTCTGGTGGGTAAAAAAAGGCAGAGCCACTTTGGAAAACAGCTTAGCAGTTCCTCAACATAGCAGCTTCATATAACTTTAAATTTTCCACAGAACTCCATATAGCGTAGAGTTCCACATAAATCTGTTACTTTATATAAACATTAAGTTCTTATCTAGACAAGAGAGCTGACAATATAAAGGTCCTCAGTTTGTACAGGAATATTCATAGCAGCATTCTTCATAACAGGAGAAAAGTTCCATCAGTTTATGAATGAATAAACCAAAGGTGGTTTATGCATACAATAAAATTCAACCATACTAAGTAATGAAATAAGTAACTTATGCTAGCACATACATGAACCTTAAAAACATGCTAAGTGGAAGAAACCAGATGCAAAAAGTCACCAATTGCATGATTCCATTTATATGAAATGTTCAGAACACACGTAAATGCTTAAAAACAATAAACCGGTGGATGTCAGGGACTGGAGGAAGCGAGCTTTGGAAGCTAACGCCACAGGATGGCTTTGGGGGATACAGAAAACAATCTGGAATGCAACGACTGCACGATCTCGTAAGTCTACTAAACCCATTACATTTGTAAAATTTAATAGAGTGAATTTTATAGCATCAGTTATATAGTAATTAAAGAATAGACTCTAGAAACTGGATTTTAAGGGTTTCATCAAACATACACTCACGTTTTAATCACTGTAGAATCGCAGTGGAGAAAA